GCCCCGGCCCACCTTGCTTCACAGCCGGCTACGAGGCCGCCGCTCGAGGGAACTGAAAACTCTAAGTGCCGCCAGACACGGAGCTTTCCGTCGGAAGAATAAAGGAAAAGGGCCGGAAGTAAACGTGCGCTTGAAGGACCGGAAGTGAAGGACAGGAAGTCAATGTGAGCCGAGGGAGGAGGAAAATAACGTAGGAACGCTCTTGGGGGGGCTGGGTGGCCTTCCCACGACCGTAAGACGCAAAATAACGCGAGTACGTGGGGAGGGGCGGTGGAGAGAGGGGCGTCGGTAGAATTACGCTTGCGCAGTGCAACGGGGATGTTTGGGCGGCCGGGTTTTCTTCTCGCGAGAACATGTGCTTCTCGCGCTAACAAGTGTTTCCCGCGATAGCCACTGTTTCTCGCGATAACAAGTGTTTTACGTGTGACCTGTGGATGCGGCGGAAGTGAGGGAAATCGGGGTTGGTAGGTGCCGGCAGCTGTTGGGGGTTATTGTCGCCTCTTCTTGGTTCTTCCGTGAGAGCAAATGTCATCCCTTTAGAAACTATTCGTCCCCCTCTCTTCGCACAAACGGAGTCTTCACCACCCGCCCTCGTGGACTGTGGCCCCAGCAGCTGTAGAAATCTGGAGTCTCGGGTCCGATGGGAACGCGAGTCCCTTCCTCGGGGACTCGCGTAAACGTCACCTTCCCTTGTCATTTACATGGGGTCTGGGCGTTTGCTGAGCTCGTCCGCTGGCACCGAAGGGCGCAGGACGTCATCCTCCTCTAAAAGAAGGACTGAAGCCGGGCGCAGAGTTCGCGCCTGTCATCCCAGCGACTCGGGAGGCTGAGGCAGGAGGATTGCAAGTTGGAGGCCAGCCTCAGCCACTTAGGGAGGCCCTGTCTCTAAATAAAATAAAAAAAGGCTGGAGATGGGCTCAGTGGCACCAAGGGTTGAACCCAGGAGCCCTTAACCACCAAGCCCCATCCCCAGCCCTTTTAATATTTAGAAACAGGGTCTCACCGAGTTGCTTAGCATCTTGCTTTGGCTGAGGCTGGCCTCCAAGTTGTGATCCTCCTGCCTCAGCCTCCAGAACTGCTTGGATGACAGGCGTGTGCCACCGTGCCTGGCTGTGATGTGATTCCTTGCTTTCCACTGTTTTTTATTTTTATTTATTTATATATATATTTTTTACAAAACATGTTCAATAACCTTTCCCTCATGTAATCAGATGGGATTTGTCCTCCCGATGAGGAAACCGCCTCTGAGGATATTTATCCTGTTTTAACTTATCTTTTAAAGAACCTAATAAAAATACACTGTCATTTGCCTTTCTGTTTGGTGACAGCCATCACGCGTGCCAAGATGAGGACAACATGTACCTCCAGGAGGTGTGGAGGAAACAGTAGTTCCATGTGACTTGTTTTGGTACTGAGGACTAATCCCAGGGTCAATTAACCACTGAGCCCCGTGCCCAGTCCTTTTTTATTTTTTGAGTAGGTCTCCTTAAGTTGCTGAGGCTGGCCTCTAATTTGTGATCCTCCTGCCTCAGCCTCCGGAGTTGCTGCGATTACAGGGACGGACCACAGTGTCACTTATTCCTGAGGGTCCACCATTGGCAGTATTTGGGCTCCCCACCTGGCCAGAGGAAGTGCCCAGATTGGGATACAAAGCCAAGCAAGGTTATGCCACGTACAGAAATGAATTTGTGGGGATGATGACAAATAGGTGAAGTTTCTGGAAGCCTTCAGTCTGTGGCTGAGCTGGATGCCACTATGGGGCTCAGAGCCCCAAATTCCTACTAGGTTGGTGAAAATGCTACACGGAAATTCTGATGATCCTCCATGCCACAAGGCCACAGTGCAGATGGGTATCTATTCTTAGGCCTGATCACTTGCTTATAGTGCGGGCTGGGGTTGGGGTTCAGCAGTAGAGCACTCACCTAGCATGCGCGAAGTCCTGGGTACCAGGGACGGAATCCAGGGGTGCTTAACCCCTGAGCCCCGTCCCCAGCCCTTTTCATATTTTATTTAGAGACAGGGTCTCACTCTGTTGCTTAGGGCCTAAGTTACTGAGGCTGGCCTCCACCTTGCGATCCTCCTGCCTCGGCCTCCGAGTTGCTGGGATGACAGGGACGCGCCACTGCACCCTGATCCTTGGGTGATTTTTTTAATTGGTTTTCAGTATTTATTAAAACCCTCAAAACCATGGAACCCCTGTATCTATTCCTGTCCATCGTGTGACATGGGAACAAGGCTACATTCACATTCACAAAAGGGATAATAAATGCTAAAAACATCAACTCAAAGGACATCAGGAGCCAAGGGTCCCATGACCACATTTCCACAGGAAACACGGGCCCGTCATGGAAAATCTGCAAGATTGGTTTCCATCAGTTGTGTTAGCAGAGAGTGCCACGTGACCCAGCGTCTGCCACATACCTGTAAAACACTCCTGCCCCCAAAAGCCTGAAGCTCAATCTAATGCACAAGCCTGCAGACCAGAAAATGTTGGGGACACTGAATAAATGACACCCTAGGAAATAATTGGTGAATTTGACTTTGCAGAAAACTATTCTGGGGCTGGGGGCTTACCCAGCATGCGTGAGGCCCTGTGTTCCATCCACAGCACCACAGAGAAATAAATAAAGTTATTGTGTCCATGTACAGCTACGAAAAACATTTTTTGAAAACTATTCTGATCTTTTCAGAAATCAAGATTATGGGGGCAGAGGTTAGACCAAACATGTAACCAAACCAAACTCCCAAACTTAGCCTGGGTCCTGGCTGCCTTTGGCAAATTAGGGCTACTTTGGTCAGATGGTTTAAGGGGATAATACTGAATTATTATAATGGCATCATGATTATGAGAAAACACTTTTTTTCATATTGATAATATTTTATTGTTCTCTTTTAAAGAGAAAACATTTTTATCTATTTCTTAGTTGTTGATAGACTAACCATGTTAGCCACATGCCCAGCCATTTTTTATCTAAAGACAGAGTCTCACTAAGTTGAGGCTGACTTTGAATTTGCGATCCTCCTGCCTCAGCCTCCAGATCCACTGGTGGAACTTACTTTCAAATGGTTCAACTACAGATGTCACCCCTCTGATCAGTCCCTTCAATCACTCTTTTTGAAATTCTTCAAACGCACTCGATAGGCAAGATCACTATGTGGTCCACACCTGATCAAGACGTGAAGGCACAGTTCCTAAAAGCAGTCTGGTCCTGACTGTTAACTGAAGCCCCAATAGGAACATGGCCAGGTGAAGTGAGGCACCTCTGCCATCCCAGATGAGGCTGAGGCAGGAGGATCCCAAGTTTCTTTTTAGTCAATGGACCTTCATTTATTTCTATGCGGTGCTGAGAATGGAACCCAGTGCCTCACAGAGGCCAGGCCAGTGCTCCACACCACTGAGCCAGAGGCGTGCACCACCTCGCCTTATCCAATTTCAATTCCAAGACGACATTCAGACAAAGCCATGTTTTCTACCTTCCCACCAGGTTTTTCAGCGAAATTCTCATTCTTATGCGAATCGCACATGGATGCCTGTCGAGTTGGGTTTCCCTGTTAAATACATGTTCATGTTGCAACTCCTCCATCATCAGGGGCAAGGCCAAAAATGGTCTTCTGAAGGGAAATGTGGTGGTTTGTTGGGAACAGGTCAGCTGCTGAGGTTGGGGTGGGCAGATCACAAGTTCAGGGTCAGTCGTGGCAGTTTAGCAAGAGACTGTTTCAAAAATCAAACAGTTCAGTGGTAGAGCCTGTGTGTTCAAAAAAGGAGGACAGGATAAAAGGGGGGTTCATTCACAATGTTTGCTACTTAGCGGATTTAGGATCTGAGACATGAGGTCGATCCCAGCAGCTCTGGAGGCCAAGGCAGGAGGATTGCAGGTTGGAGGCCAGCCTCAGCAATGCCATCTCAGAAAATATAAAAAGGGGTTCAAATCCCTGGTTACGCCCTCCCCACTCACCCCCCAAAAGAAGAGAATTCGATTTCCTACAGCAGACCCTGAAGATCCACTCCAGGCGTGTCCTCAGAATGTGCTCACCGCAGTCATGACTAGTTTCGTACCCAAAGAAAAAATCCAAACTGCTGGCTTT